TATTAATAAAAATTTTCAATTTTATAAAAATAAAACAAATGCATTTAATGTAAGTATTTAAAAGTAAGAGGGATGTTATATTATGGCCTTTGGAGCAAGAGCATTGCTATGTTGCAAATACAGCAGCTTGTGCTGTCACAGGGTCAGTTAGCTTCATAGGCCAGTGAAGTAATGAATGCATTTCTTTAATTTTTAAACACACTTGTTTTGAAAAGGAGGAAGATTAGCTTGAAAAAAAAATCTTAATAAGTGTAATACCTATGTAATATGTTGAGAGAAATATAATTTCAGTTGAAAGAACCTGCTGGATTAAGATGTAAAAAGATAGTGTTAAAAGCCACAAAGTCTAAGATGCTCCGTATTATAACCAACCCTGTGAAGTCACCTGCTGTGGGATTGTAGATGGCTGCACCCTTGTTCTAAAAGCCATACTAAAACATCAATTTTCTTATTAAAAAATAGTTATTAATACATTTTTAAAAAGTGTGCTAAATAATGCAAACTTGACTTACTGCTTTAATCTAGCAAAACCAAATGCATTCATGAATCGGTTCCCAATTTATTAAGTTTTCCCTACAAAATATTTATATTGATTATGTAGCACCAATTGGTCTCTCACACATTTGCATTTAATTTCTTGAAAATGTTTTAAAAGTACTTTTACTGCAGTTTGTTTTATTACATTACAGTGTTTCTTTAATTAAAAAAATTTATTGTTCCTTTAGAATAGTATCATGTTCAAGATACTGGAATTTAGTACCAATCTCTGCTGCAATTTTAAGCAGCAAATTTCGTGCTAACATTTTAAGCACTTTTGAGCACATTTTTAAACAGCACTGTTTTGCCATTCTGTTCACATGCTTAACAGAAATGACACTCAACAATGCTCAAATGTTAGCAGGAAATGGATGTTTTTAAAATTACTATATGGATTGGTAATAAATTCCACTATCATGACAAGCCTAGTAGAAGCAGTACAGGCAAATCCATCGTGTTGGTCTACATTGAAGAAGGAGCACCATAGCAAGGCCTTCTTATAAGAAGCATTTGAATGTAAAATGTACTATAAACACAAATAGTCATGCTAATAAGCAACTAGTTAATAGGGTAATTGGTTCCTACTAAAGTGTTACTAAATTAAGCACAAGGAATTGTATTTTTTTCACCTCTGCTTTTGGTCTCCTGGCCACTACAGGCTTTATTAGTGCCATTTAGAATATCAAACTTTACTTATTTTTCTTTCTCTATTCATAGGATGTAATTGTAGAGTCGGACTTCAGTGCAGAAGATGTTGGCCTGCTGACTGTCGTGTGTGAAGATGTCTAAAGAACCTCATTATGGTTGCAATGTGGGCCTTTATACTGGAAGGAAAAGTGGTTATGGACTTTGCCACATGCAGTATGTCTCTTTTTTTGCTTTGATTTACACACTGAATTCGGACTACCCAAAGACTTTGAGCAATGCATTTGAATTTGTTCAACGTTTGTTGCTTTTGCTGGGAGGGAAGCATAATGTGTTTTATTCGGCGAGTGCCTATATACTGCTGTGCTTTATGTTTAAAGGTTCAGGTATAATGGCATGTTTAATTACAAAGTGTTGCTTTTTAACATGTTGCTGTTTGCAGTGTTACATTTAGGACTGCAGCATTTTGGTGTTTAAAACACTTTTTTTTTTTTTTTTACCAAAAAAGTGTATTGTGATTTATAGGGTTGTCAAAGGTATTGAGTTTGGTACCAATCGGTACTGAAATGAATAAAAAAAAAAGTCCATCCATTTCCCACTAACATTGCAAGAACTGATTGGCCATTGTGTTCACATGCTCAGTAGATATGACTGATTGGCTTTGAAGGTCATTATTTTTACCACACTTCACCACTGTTCACCAGGTGCAAAGATACAAAGACACTGGATAACTTCAAAGCACTGTCGATCAGTCGATTCATCACCAGATAGCTTATATGTTAGCTTCTAAACAAATCAGCTATCGACATGGCTTTGAAACACTTCAGTGTCTGTGTAACTTTGTTTGGACTCAGTGAAAAATGGTAAACCTATGACAGTCACAGCCAATCACAGTCATTTCTGTTGAGCATGTGAACACAGTGGCCAATCAATGGTGTTTAAGAACGAGCTCAGTAGCAATCAAATGCTGGTGGAAAATGGATATTTTTAATATTTCAGTATTGATTGATACCAAACTCAATACTTTTGACCACACTAATGTGATATTTTCTGTAGGAAAATCTAAACTACACAGTCTAACAAATTAGCTTTAAAGCTTAATATCTGTTCCTCTGTGAGTGTCTATATGCTGCCATGTTTAAGGTGCTGGTGCAATGGCATGTTTAATTACACTAATTCAAGTATCTTTTTTCCAAGTGTCAAGTATTTAAAGTTTTTTTGATAGATTTTCAAACCTTTTTGAAAACTTGTGTTTTAGGGTTGAACATGTTTATTATATTTTTTGTCTGTATTGCTGTTTACAGTATATTACAGCACTTTACAACAGGTTTTTACAAAACTGTATTGTGTACAAGTGTATTGTGATACTAAAATATCACAAGTGTATTGTGAAATTCTGCTAATTTTGTCAAATAAAATGTTTACATTTAAGACCTGTATAATGTCATTACTTGTAGGTTGAACTACATATTTTATGTTCAGTTTAATTGAAGAAAATGTGGAAACCGATTGCACGTAGTTTCTTTAGTTGACATTACTTAAAATGGTGGATTAAAACAATGTTGAGACTACTAGCATTCAAGATGTTAACTGAACATGGTAGAACAGTATTAGTTAAATAGAGTTATTAAAGTAATCTTACTATAAAACCCTAAGTAAGATTACTAAATAATGACAAGTATGGTAACTAGAATTTTCTATTAAACTTACTTAATTTTTAACAGTTAGTTTACTTTATAAGTTTTAGTTTTCTTACTTCAAGGCAATAATTAAACTTAACTTAAGATTTCCTTGTAAGTTTATATTGCAAAAATAAGGCAATCGGTTTCCAAACTTTTTTTAAGTAAACTGAACATGTTAGAATTTACAGTGTATGTTTAGAAATGTGTTGAAAAAAATCTTCTTTCTGTTGAACAGAAATTGGGGAAAAAAATGAACAGGGGTTCTAATAATTCAGGGGGGCTAATAATTCTGACTTCAACTGTATATATATATGAGCAATATCACACTAACTGTATATCACCACTGGTGGGAGGCGTGCGTTGTGGCCGAGTGCCTTAGCACCCCACCAGTGCTGATATACAGCCACAGCACACTGCTATGAGTATGATATTGGGTTTTTACAACAGTTCGACGGCACAATCTTGTACATAAAAAAGAAAATCAAACACGGAGAGTCTAAAACCCTTTTGTATTAGGAACTACTTTAACCATTCATTCACATCTGCAGTTGACGTCAGGACAACAGAAGCCGTTACTAATTCACCAACGTCACTTTAGAGCTAGTATTTGAATAATTTTCTATAGCGTGATGTGAAGCGGCGAATTTTGCTCACATTTTAAGATTATAAGGCTGAAATTACTTGAAATGCCATCCGTCAACAGAGATTTCTCACCAGACTGCTGTTGTGTTTGCGATAAGGAGGGACAAGGCTAAATCCAGCTTCTTATTCGCAGCCTCTTATTGACTTTATTCGGTCCACCCACCTTAAAAACCACAAAGCTTCCGTTTTTCAGCTTTTTAATTTGCGCTCAAGAGAACACAATGAGCAAGGGCTTATTATGCGGTTCTGGCGCCATCTTATGGATACAAAACATCAGCCGCCGCCGACGAGCTCTCAGAAATTGTAAATATTTTAAATTAGGCACTATTGTTGCAAATAAACTGCATAGTTGCAATCTAAACAACTACATTCTCGACTAAAAAAAGCCTCAAAATTATATTTGGTTATCTAACAGCAGTAATATTTGTCAAACTGTAGTGTCTGCTTGTTGCTGGCTGTATTTGGGTGGAGTAATACACAAAGGGTAAAGAGGCTGTACGGATGCTGATATTACTTAAATATATCACGGCTATCAGCCAATCAGATTCGAGATCCAGATAGAACTATATATATATATATATATATATATATATATATATATATATATTTTATTTATTTTTTCCCAGAGATGGGTTGCGGCCGGAAGGGCATTCGCTGCATAAAAACTTGCTTGACAAGTTGGCAGTTCATTCCGCTGTGGCAACCCCGAATTAATAAAGGGACTAAGCCGACAAGATAATGAAATATATATATATATTTTTTTTTCCACAAACCATTTTATTTATTTATTTTTTTAACTCTAGCTATTTTATTACTGAACATTTGCTCTGGGTTCCTGGTACTTACGGCATCCTTTTTTACTGCTGAACAATAAAGAAGATATTTTGTTAACAAAAAAATTACCCACTGGGATCATTATGAAAGTCAAATGGTTTCTAGTTTTCAGCATTCATTAAATATCTTCTTTTGTGATCAACATACTACCAAACAGGTTTTAAATAAGAGATGGGTGAGTAAACGATGACAATTTTCCTTTTACAAACTCTTTCTGACTGTAAAATCGGTAAGCCATTGCAAACTAATAATTTGCAGAGTTTAGCATCATTTTAACAGATGGTTTGATGATTTGTTAGTGCAAAATCATGTTAGTGCACTCACATTTATGTATTTTTCAGTATGGCTGAAGTGTCTAAATACATTCATGGCCACAGTAAATATATCTAACTCCGATTTAACTCTAATTAAACTCTTTGGACTTGCAGCAGTGAAATTTAAACCACACTGAAATGAACTAAACTGAACTTTAACTGTGAAAACTGGACTGACACAGTTTCAGTTTACTAGAACTTCTATGTTAACCTGCTTTGACACAATCTACATTGTAATAGCCATATTTATACAAACATGAATTGAATTCAATTGAATTGATAGGACAATGAATAAAGCAGAATAAATCAAACAAGATTGGTAAGACTGTAAAGTATAGAGATGAACCTTGAAGAAGGTTAAGCATTCCTTGCTGCCCTCTGGATCCAGATTGTTAGCATTGAAGTCATAAAGAGCTCTGCAGAGGGCTAGAGGCTGAGGCTGTTCACTCAAGACCTGCAACACATTGACTGGAACCAAACCTCTGCTGTCTTTGCCTTCCCCATAATACCAGTTATCATCTACTCTCCACCGCAGATAAATGATGTCACCTGACTTCATTGTGAGCTCCCCTGGAGCATTACCCTGGAAGTCATATAATGCTTGGGCTTGAACCTGTAACAAATGCAAAGTATAAAGAAGTCAAGAAATAAAATAAAGTAATGCACTTCTAAAGACATACTATTGTTACATTTGTACATTTTTCATCACTTTTAAATACATTAAGATCCAATACAATGCAAAAAGGAGACAAAGGAAATTTGTATAAAACGTTACAATTCTGTACAGGTCTGATAACATTTCTAAGTTTGAAAAGTTGATTAAATTCAGGGTTATTCCCCCATTTCCTAACTCTTCTGAAGCTAAAACATTGGCGTTGTGTTGTCTAAAAATTAAACATATTGAAATTTGATGACTTAATTTTGGTATGAAATGTCAATTTAAATAAAATAAACATAAATCGAGAAAAACTGAGAATTTTCAAGCTGTCTTGTGTTTTTTCCATTGCTGTATTTATTCTAAAGTGTACTTGTTAAATCATATAAAATAATATTTGATCATAGTCTATTATATAAAGTTATGCAGTATATGGAATGTTTAGCTAAAAGTGAAACCTTATAGTTTGAAGGACAAATGTAGAATAAAGATTTAAAATTAAAATTAATTAAATGTTTTTTTCAAAGACAAAAACTGTAAATTAAAACACTACTGTAGCATTATGGCTAGATTTTGCCCGATTGTAGTATAGAAATTGTTGTATTAAAACATCTTTTAATGTATATGATTTCCTGTGGTTTTCAAATAAATAAATAAATATACAAATCAGGATTTTTCTGGTAAATATATTTGTAAAGAAGCTGCTGATATGAAATTGACCGAGATTATAGTAAAATCTCAGACAATCCAAACAAACAGAAAAAATCTGAAAAAAATATGCATAATAACAATGAAATGACTCAAGGTTCCTAGTGAATTGCATTTAATACTTTCTGTAGAAGTTTTTTTTTCATATCGACAGCTTCATGACACCTTTTGTATGGAGAATGAAGTCACATGCATTGTTTCAACATGGTCTTTAAATCTTGACAGTCTGGTGGTCTCATCTATGGAGCTTTTTTTCCTTTTATAAAACCAATTGAGAGTGCTGAGGTCATTGGCATGTTGAAAGTCAACAGCACCTTTCGAAATATGCTTTCCTGAGAAAAATGCTGACATGTTTAATACTTATCTTATACGATACTGTACTGTATATATATATATATATATATATATATATATATATATATATATATATATAGACTAAATTTGAAATATACTTAAAACTAAATGTGATTTTTGGACCGTAAATAACAGCATCTAATAGCACTTTAATGGTATACTATTTCCTTTTAGAACTTCAAATGCATGCCTACTAAATTACAGGCATGGAATGGTAATGCATGTTGTGGAGAAAGTTTCCCCAGAGCATTAAAGCATCTCAAAGTTTTAAACAGCACTACTGTTTGTGCTGCAAATGCAATGGCTTTTTTCCCCAACTGAAACTCAAATCCACCGACCTACTTAAACTAAATCAAGGCCCAGAGTGTTTCAGTGGACATTGTGTCAAACACACAGAAAGGAAAGCTGACCTCCCTATTTACACAACACAAAAACCTGACTGAATGATATATTGATAAATACACATTTCATCAAATGCACAGGATTACTGTCAAACTGAAAAATTAACATGCTCTGTTTGATATGGCACAAAAAGGTAACAAGATCCATACGGGACATAGTTTTGGAAAATTCATGTTTTGCAAATTTAGCACTATAAGCATAATGACTAATCTAGATCACTACTATATCGACAAAACAAACTCTTGGGATAAAGTTGGGTTCAAAATTTAATTTTAAAAAAACGTAACCAAGTAGCTGGTTTTGTCCACATTTTACAAAATTTTGAGTTAAAATGATAAAGCAAGTTTGATTATAATTACTCAAAAAGAAAAGCAAACAAGTATAAATTATAGCACAAAGCAAGACTGAATCAAAAAACACCAATATGAGGTCCAAAATAAAAACCCCTACACATTTCAAATGATTATACATGCTCTAATGCAACAAAAGTATGTTGTATTTCTTACCCTCTGCGTGTTCTGCTCCTGCTTGGGAAGATCTTGCGTGTAACTGCTGCAATGGTCCTCCTGAGCCGGAGAGCTCATATATCTGACAGATCTGTCCCTCGGTGTGCTCACTGGACCCCATTCGTGAAGGCTCTCTAAGAGTCTATGCAGCAGCGGGTTAGTGGGAAGCTCCTCCACTGATCCAGGAACAGCAGCTCTGCACTCTGGGCAGCACAACTGATCAGGGTGTGATGTCTCCTGCTGCTGAAGGCATGATTTACAGAACGTGTGCTGGCATGGCAGGACCTTTGCAGACACGTCCAATGGCTCCATACACAAAGGACACTCTAACAGCTCCATAACAGCCAGATCCTCCATCCTACACAGAACTTAATCATGAACATAAACTCATCTGGCACACCTGTCACAAGATTACACCATTTACAACCATTGATAACACATTCTGAACTACTTCAGCCCCAAATACCCCTTATTAGATGATGGTTCCCATTGTGAAGCTGTTTCTAATGACTCGAGCTATTTACTTCCGTCAACACCTGCTCATCTCGCTGTTGTACTATACAAACAGGTGTGAACGCAGAAGAAGCGAACATTTTGTAAACACAAACACGACATAACACCTAGCGCATTTAACTAGTATTTACCCTACCTATGGTTACATTTCAATGGCAATTGTGCCACTATCGTGTAGACGTGAAAAGCAGGTTTTCATTGAAATCAAGATCGGAGTCAGCACGTGACGTCACGTCTACCTGGCTACACGAAACACGTTCACGGCGAAAACGAGTTAGGTATAAACTTGAACATTGTACTCAAATTCAGTTAAATATTCACATACCTCGTAGTCTTCTAGGAACAGATGGACAGAAAAAAGGTTCAGGCGAATGAGAGAACAGCTCTAAACTGGATGTGTGGCGACAGGTGTCATCTTACACCTCAATGTCACTGAGATTCAGCCGGAGAAATGGACGAGTAGTGTGAGGGAACACGGAATTGGAGGCTGGCTATAGAAGTCCAAAATAATGTTTCAATTGCAACTGTAGCCTACTCGCTCATTTAAATTAGGCCTACATTGTTTTACTGATAATGAATCTGTGAATTTTGTGTAACACTATATATATATATATATATATATATATATATATATATATATATATATATATATATATATATATATATATATATATATATATATATATAACAACATTAGTTTCTAAACATTTTGTGTTTGGGCTAGTTAAGATAAGTTTAAATAGGCTGTAACTCTTGATATTGTTAGTAATAAAAACTGTTGAAGCATGTAATTTTTGTAGTTAATATTAACTAAAATAGTTGAAGTTGATGTTAACTAGGTACAAATATATAAATTATAATGTAAATTATTAATTTATCTTTCAACAAATGTTCAGTAAAATATGCTCAGAATTGCTCTGACCCAAGGTCAAAGTAGCTCTAAACATTATTTGAGCTGTTTTATTTTCTGTTATTATATGAAATATTTCCTCTTGGCAAAATTTCACAAATTACATTTGTTTTGAAATTTACACCCATTTAAATTAAACAATAAATATTACAAATACACTACATAATCAATACCACAGATTTGTAAATATTATTTATTATTATTGTTAACTATAGTAAGTAAAAAAATAAGCTGCAAAAAAAAAAAATGCATGAAATTTAGCATGTCACAATTTTTTGTCCAAAATGTTTAGTCAGCCGCGCAATAGGTAGTACTGTCGCCTCACAGCAAGAAGGTCGCTGGATCGCAGGTTTGAGCCTCGGCTGGGTCAGTTGGCGTTTCTGTGGGGGGTTTGCATGCTGTCCCTGCATTTGTGTGGGTTTCCTTCGGTTGCTCCGGTTTCCCCCACAGTCCAAAGACGTGCGGTACAGGTGGATTGGGTAGGCTAAATTGTTCGTTGTGTGTGTGTGTGTGTGTGTGTGTGTGTGTGTGTGTGAATGAGTGTGTGTGGATGTTTCCCAAAGATGGGTTGCGGCTGGAAGGGCATCCGCTGCGTAAAAACGTGTTGGATAAGTTGGTGGTTCATTCTGCTGTGGCGACCCCAGATTAATAAAGGGACTAAGCCGACAAGAAAATGAATGAATGTATAAATAATAATAATACATTAATAAGGGCTCGCCACAGCAGATTGAACCGCCAACTTATCCAGCATATGTTGTACACAGCGGATGCCCTTCCAGCTGCAACCCATCACTGGGAAACAACCATACATACTCATTTACACTATGGACAATTTAGCTTACCCAATTCACCTATACAACATGTTTTTGGACTGTGGGGAAAACCGGAGCATCTGGAGGAAACCCACGCGAACATGGGGAGAACATGCAAACTCCACACAGAAATGCCAACTGATCCAGTCGGGGCTCAAACCAGCGACCTTCTTGCTGTGAGGTGATTGTGCCACCCACTGTGCCAACATGCTGCCTATGTGGAAATATATGTGTTTTAAATGTAATTGGCTAAACGTTTTCATTATTAAAGGTTTAAATTTAGACAAAGATTGTCAACACCACTTTCAATTGGGTACAAACTGAAAAAATTGCCAACACTCTCAGAAATAAAGGTACAGAAGCTGTCACTGGGGCAGTACCTTTTTAAAAGGCACATATTTGTCCCTGAAGGTTCCATAATGGTACCTCAAAAGTCCTCTTTAGGTATTTGGGCACTAATATGCACTTTTGAGGTACCACTGTGGACTCTTTTGGTACAAATATGTATCTTTTGAAAAGGTATTGCCCCAGTGACAGCTCTTGACCTGTACTTTTATTTCTGAGAGTTTACAATAAGACTTACTGTACTGTTAACATAAGCAAGATGCATTAATGCATTAATTAACCAACAATACGAAATACATTTAATCATTAATATTTATTAACGTTAGTAAAATACATAATTGTTTTTTTTTCATGTTAGCTCAGTTCCATTTAATAATATTTACTAATATGTTATTAAAAGCAAATTTTGTTTATGTTGAAATTGCCATTACATACACTGATACATGTTTAAGATGTTTGTTTGTTTTTAGAACATTAAATAATTCAGTTAAACAATAAAATAAAATTATAATACTGTTTTCCATTTGTACATCAGACCATAAAAAAAAATGTTTTAGTGAATTGAAATTAAACATTCATTTTTATTTGGCTTAGTCCCTTTATTAATCTGGGGTCGCCACAGCGGAATAAACTCCCAGCTTATCCAGCAAATGTTTTTTACGCAGCGGATGCTCTTCCAGCCGCATCCTGAAAATCAAAATCATTTTATCCATTACAACAATCTCAGTGTTAGATTTGAGAAAGCCAAAACCCTTGAGGTCAGTCAGACCAAAATCATAATTTTATGGGGAAGACAAACTGTTGAAAACTAATTATCTCGCCTACTTGGCATGCTAAGGAAGCATAATGCAATTTATCAAATATAGGTCTCAAAACTACAAGAACAAAATGGATTTAAGCCTGAATGGTCTAAAGGATGAGAATCAAAGTTTCTTACATGGAAATTAATTTCATTGCAAGGTCCAAATTCAATTAAGATTTTGCTGGGTTCATTTTTAAATACTAGCGCCCTCTAGTGGTAAAGAAAAGCTATTGGATTATGTTTTAAATGTAGCATTGCTTAATAATTGTACGTATCACCTAAGTTTTTCTTGAAAGCAAACCTATTGGGAATATAGGTTTCCCAATAGATTTCCCAAACCTATTGGGAATATAGGGTCCCCCCCCCCATCCCCCATCCCCCAATAAATATGCTTGAGTCAGATAGATTAATGAGCAGCAGAGATCTATTGACAGAGAAGACTAATATGTTGAGTGGCAACTGCAGCCTTGCTCATAGCAAATCATCTGCAATGAAACAATCCAGACATGATGTTTTGAATCTTTGGGATTTCAATTTCACACATCCCTTAAACCCCAAAGTCCCGTTAACATCTCAGGGTTAAATTATTCATTAATATTGGCTCTGCGTTCTGCACAAGTTCAGGACATTCACTTAAATTTTTTAACGGTGCATGAATTTTTTATCTGTTTTGTAAGTCTGTAGAATATGGGTTTTTTAGGAGAATCTTTAAAAGAAGGATTCCATTGCTTTTTATGTTTGAGATTTGCTGCGGTTTCATATCTGTTTTTCAGTGGCTCATTGAAGTCCTCCGTGTCTGATCCATGCATGCTTTTAAGTGATTCCTGTAATCAGTTTGTTAGGTTAGCTTAACAGCCTGACAAAAACTCGGAACGAGGCTTTGGCTGCTGTGAGACTGAGTGTTTGTGAAGGGATGCAGAGTAATTGCTGTAGCTTTAATGAGCTCTTGCTGGGGCATTTGTAATTCTTTGGTTTCTTATCTCATCTAGAGAAGAGAGGAAATAGAGAATACAGATCTGGCCGGCAGAGGGAGCAGTGTATATGGCTACAGAAATAAGCCTTTCTGTTCGAATTTGAAGTGCTTCCTCTCTTCACGAAATATTATTACAGACTCATAAAACCGACATTCTATTACCTTCCTCCTTTCATTTATCATTCAACTGGTTTCTTTGTTTTCGGTCGTTTATTCAGATTTGTGCTTTCTCTGCAGTTTGAGGTAATCAAGTCATCGGAGTTCTGTGGGAATGAGTCTATGGGTGTTTATAGGCTTCCATTACAGCCCATCAATTATTCATGGGCTGATTATATGGCTATTGTTTCCTGCCATTATTTCTGAGAGTTTACATTTATCAAAATTGTCCACCCACAAATGAAGGCGTATTGCACTCTTGTTAAGCCGGAAGCAGAGTTTACTTTTGTTACAAGCCACTTATGATGATTAAAATATTGGAATATGTTGAGTGTTATCCAGGCCTAAAAGATGTCAACAGTAAATCTGAACGCTGTTGATGATGAAAGTCCAGGACCAACATTAGTGAATTTACACTGTATTTAAATGATGATGGTATAGGATCAGCATTGGCGAATTTACACTGTATTTAAAAAAATATGATGGTCCAAGATCAACACAGGTAAAATTTAAATGTGTTTAAATGTATATGATGGTCCAGGATCAACATTAGTGAATTTACACTGTATTTAAATGATGATAGTCCAGGATCAACAATATTAAATTTACACTGCATTTAAATGATGATAGTCCAGGATAAACATGGGTGAATTTACACTGTATTTAAATGAATATGATGATCCAGAATCACCATTAGTGAATTTACACTGTATTTAAATGATGATAGTCCAGGATCAACAATATTAAATTTACACTGCATTTAAATGATGATAGTCCAGGATAAACATGGATGAATTTACACTGTATTTAAATGAATATGATGATCCAGAATCACCATTAGTGAATTTACACTGTATTTAAATGATGATGGTCCAGGATCATCAAAAACGCCTGCTTTTTTAGACCAGAAGGCCAATGGGCGAACATATGAGCGGAAATGCATTTGATATTTAAAAAGCGTGGCGCAACACCTCAAAATGACCCTTGCACCGAGCTGAAAGTAGCAAATAACAATTGCGTCAGGCCTTGCGTCACATTGCACCGGGTATATGATAGGGCCCTATATTTTAATGATGATGGCCCAGCATCAACAATAGTGAACTTACACTGTATTTAAATGATGATGGTCCAGGATCAACAATAGTGAATTTAAACTGTATTTAAATGATTGTGATGGTCCAGGATCAACATTAGTGAATTTACACTGTACGTATATAATTGATGATGGTCCAGGATCAACAATAGTGAATTTAAACTGTATTTAAATGATTGTGATGGTCCAGGATCAACATTAGTGAATTTACACTGTACGTATATAATTGATGATGGTCCAGGATCAACAATAGTGAATTTAAACTGTATTTAAATGATTGTGATGGTCCAGGATCAACATTAGTGAATTTACACTGTACGTATATAATTGATGATGGTCCAGGTTCAACAATAGTGAATTTAGACTGTATTTAAAT